AAAACTTGGCGGGTATAGGTTTTGGATTAAATGATAAAGCTTATGCCGTCTATATACAAATTATTTCATGTATCGGGTTTCCTTTATATGAAGTTTAAGTGCATGGTTTGCAGTATCGATTGTAGTGATCGAAATGTTTGTTTGTTTGTTTTTGAATTTCACGCAAAGCTACACGAGGGCTATCTGTGCTAGCCGTCCCTAATTTAACAGTGTAAGGCTAGAGGGAAGGCAACTAGTCATCACCACCCACCGCCAACTCTTGGGCTACTCTTTTACCAACGAATAGTGGGATTGACCGTCACATTATAACGCCCCCACGGCTGAAAGGGCGAGCATGTTTGGTGTGACGGGGATTCGAACACGCGACCCGTAGATTACTAGTCGAGCGCCCTAAGCACTTGGCCATGCCGGGCCTGATCGAAGTGTGTTAACGTCTGTGACTCTAATAATATGTCTAGAAATTTAAGTATTACTATTATTAAAACAACGTGACTTTGAGTTATAAATATTTTGCATGAAAATAAATTAACTTAGAACTCTAAGTAAGCCAGGTGGACTAAAGTTGTAGGTAGTTCTAGTTAAAACTGAATTGCTTGAACTTTAGGTACTTCTGATATCGCAAATTGTAGTTTAAAACTACATGAATTAAAGACGTAAATAATTCTGTTTAAAACAACATTAATTGAAGATGTAGTTAGTTTTGTTTAAAAAAACAAAACGAAGCTAGAACTAGATTTGTAGGTGATTCTTCATGTAAGATATTTTTTACTAAAACATCGAAAATTGTGAGCTGGTGCTGTAGGTAATACTGGTTAGAACAACTTGAATTGGAGTTTTGAATAGATTCTGGTTCAAACTAAGTTTTTAAGGTAGTCTAATTAAAATAATACGAAGTGAAGTTGGAAACAGTTCTGAAATAGAGTTGTTGGTTGTTTTGTTTGAAATAATATGAATTTGATGTGAAGATAATTCTAGCTAAAACAACCTGAACTTGGGTTATAGGTTTAAAATCACGTAAAGTTTAGTTGTTAGACGTTCTATTAAAACAACATAGACAAGCTGTTAGTATTTGTTGTTTAGACATCACACTGAGTAAAACAGCACCATCTGGAACTGTAAACACTTGTGATTAAAAGATGTGAACTGAGTTTATTACTTCTGATTGAAAAATAGCGACTTGACTAGTTAATTG